ACATCTCTGCGTCAGCACGGTTGTAATGCAGACAAAACTTTACTAAAGACTCAAACTTTGCCGCATACTCAACCACAATCATATTCCCTTGTTTCAGCTCAAGAAATTCCACCTCTTTCTTGCCCCGAACATCTTCCAGAAAATAATTCCTCAAAAATTCTTCCTTGAACACAACCCAAGTTATTTCACTGCCACCATCTCCCAATCTCTAACGAGTATTATCCCACCAGTCCTCAGCTTCCTCTGCTAGCATATGCATACCAAACAGCATCTGCTGAGCATCAGTGCACGCCATAACCCGGAAAATCTTCTCAATCACTTTCAACCACTTATGTGCATCATCAAGATCATGAGTGCCCATAAAAGTCGGCGGATTATTCCTCTGGAACTTTCCCAAAGCACGGAACTCATCTGGAGGTCCACCATTCTGAGCCATCACTTGGACAAGTGATTCCAGCGCATCAGCAATAACACGATCATTCCTTCCAACCATCTGCAACCACCAACAGTGTTAGAAGAAAACAACTCATCAATAGTGTTCTCACACTATTGACTGATAGGGGACTAACAACATAAAAACTTGGTCGGACCGACCGACCTGCTCTGATACCACTAATGTAACACCTTTTTCTACCACAATTATTAAGGCAAAATAACACAGATATCAGAGTAAATTATTAAATTCAATAAAAGCCACCATAAAAGGGAGTACATTTCCCAAATCAACAAAATAGGTCAAGGCTCCGTAAACAACAGGTTTTCCCAAAATACATTAAATTGCACAAAGCAGCGGAACTCAAAAGGCATAAATCAAGGTTTTCCTCATACGGGAAGATAATCAAAACAAACTCAAAATAAAACATAGTTTAACTCAAAAGACCCCAACCCGATGTTAAATATCAGAGCAAGACCCTCTAAGCTAACCAAAAGGCTAACAACTCAAAACTTCAAAAATATCCTCGACGGCGTCCACGGCTAAACTTGATCATCTGCACGTTACTCACGTGGAGGTAACATTCAAACAGGCAGGGTGAGTAAAACGATTCATAATAATCAATGTATAAAAATCAACATATAAAACGACATCATATTCATATTCAACACATTGATATCCTTCAATAGGCCTCAAAGGCCACAACATTATAAATTATTCCAAATGACTCATAAATGCAAATGCAATAAGACTCAATGCATGTGGTACCAATCATCACCGCACGATGGACACTGGGCCATCAACCCTCCATAGATTCCCATCAATAGGATCGATTCTACTTGAGAACCGTAGCACATCAAAACACTCACATCCACACAATGGGATTGAAGGCAAAGTAATCGAGGTCCTAAACCGAAGTCCGGATGCACATGAATGCATCATGCACACGTCACAAATCATCCTCATAATAACAACATAGGTGCATCATCATTCATCATATTCATCATCATCATATCTCATGTCATCATATAATTCATCAAAATCAATGGTAATATCATCATATTACATCATGGAAATCATCATGTCATCATGTACACGTCACATAAACTCACTGTCATACTCAGGTTAATTCACCACAGAAATCACAGAATCACACATCAAGGCATCGCTGCACACGATCAACATTCGCGAAACTCTGCTACGTTCGTTATCATGTTTGCTAGGCGAGTCTGGAGCGAGTTTCTTCGCTAGGCGAGTCTGGGAACAACATGGTTCGCTAGACGAAGCATTATTCATTAGGCGAACAGTGCGACAACATCAAATTCTGCTACGCACCAGAACCTAAATCCACCCAAATGTCCATACGATTCACTTCCCTAATGACCCCAAAACATCCCTAAATCATCCCTAAGTTCTTACGGCGATAAAGGCACAAAACCTACGGTTTATTAGGCCAATCCCGCAACATATTCACGCCCTAAATCACAATTTTTCCTTCAATTACACCCTACTCATCAGGATTACTCACTATCCAATATTCCTACCCCTTTCAGGGTCAGACATATAACAATTCAAGGTTTTGGCGACGAAGGCTTAACTTTCCCTTTTTCCCCATTGAATTCACGGTCGGATTCACCAATCATAGGTTTAGGCCATGAAGGCCAAAGATCACTATTTCTCATATCTACCCTCAAAACCCCTTAAATCTTAAATCGACCTTAAACACATCGAAAGTCACAAATGGAAAATCATGAAAAGCTATACTCCCCATACCTTAATCGTCGATCAAAGCCTTCTCAATCCTTCAGGGAATCTCTCAGAACTTCTGCCTCCAATCCTCTCCTCAGAGCTCTGGCCTCAATATTTTTCACGGTTCACAAATGAATCCTAATTCCCTTCAGAATTCCCTTTTTGTCAAACCTAGTCTTGGGTCAAACAATTGGGCTTTCCCCATAATACCCTTTCTAACTCCCCTTAAATGTCCAATTTGCCCTTATTCATCTTATATTTATTTTAATTAATAATAATATTAATAAATTCATATTAAATACTATCAATTAAATAAATAACCCAAAAATGCATTAATTCTCAATATTCCACAAAACACCGAAAATCACCGAAAAATGAATATTCTCAATTAAATAAATAAATAAAAATATTCCAATTAAATTTGGGGTGTTACAGTATCAAATTCTACAAGAGTAGTAGAGGCTTGATGATGCACCAAAGAAGATATCCAACTGAATTACTCAAGAGATTTGAGATGTAAGATTACAACCCAACTTCGACTCCAATTGAGCCCAGATTGCAACTGTCAAAAGACACAAATGAAGATGATGTTGATGCAACGTAGTACAAAAGACTCATTGGATCACTTTGATACATTTGTTAGACAACGTCTGATCTAGCATACAATGTAGGTATGGTGAGTAGATTCATGCAGAATCCAAATGTATCACACCTATCAGAAACGAAGAGGATACTAAGGCATCTAAAAAAACTCTTGATTATGGCATTTTGTTTTCTGTAGCTAATGAAGGAAGATAATGTAAACTAGTGGGTTACACCAACTCAAGTTGGTCTAGTGATGTTGAGGATAGAAAATTCACAGTTGGTTATGTGTTTATGCTAGGTGGTGCATTAGTTGCTTTGAGTTCAAGAAAAGAACCAGTAGTAGCACTATCGTCGTGTGAAGAAAAGTATATAGCTACTTCCCTCTATGCATGTCAAGCAACGTGGATGACAAATTTGGTCGAAGAGATTATAGGGAAGAATCATGGAGTAATTACCATGAAGATCGACATCACGTCTGCTATCAATCTGCCGAAGAATCCGATAGCACATGGAAGAAGCACACACATTGAAATGAGGTTCCATTATCTTCGAGAGAAAGTGGTTGAAGCGAAGCTGAACTTGGAACATCATGACAAAAGGAGTGCAGGTCGAAGTGTTCAAGAAATTAAGGTCTATGCTGAATGTAGATAGCTTAGACACAATGAATTAGGTGGTGTATTGAATTATAATTCCTTGCGTCGAAACAGATTTCTCGACAGAAGTAAGAAAGTGTCGAAATTATGCTAATGTCGAAATGTTGAAGTATGTCTCGACAAGATAGTGACTTAACTTTATTTGTTTGTTTTACCTGAGTTAGTTATGTTAGTTAGGGATTACTTAGTGTGAAAGTAACCTCAACCTATAAATAGGGAGGAACCCTATTATTGATGCAATGCAGTTGTATAGAGAAAAAGTTGAATAAAATCTCAGTTTTAGAGTAGATAGGAACTCTGCAAATTTCACAATATTTTCTTCCTTCGCTCGTTAAACCCTAAACTCTTTCTTTCCCAATTCAATTTTCTTTTCTTCTTTCAGTTATCAATTGTGCAATGATATAATCTTGCAACCAAGAGTGATTGATTAACTGAGTGAAGAACAAGAAGGATACTTAATCAAAAATATTGATTCTTTTTCATTAAGATTTGATTTAAAATTCATCAAATTTTGGTGAAATTGAAAATTGAAAATATGGTTTAATTCCAACACTCGATCATCATTAATGTGTTAGTCATCTGCTGCTTACAAGTGGATTATCCTCTATTGGGTCTAGTAAAATTATTCTAATATAGAATTGTTTATATATATATATATATATATATATATATATATATATATATATATATATATATATATATATATATATATATATATATATATATATATATATATATATATATATATATATATATATATATATATATATATATATATATATATATATATATATATATATATATATATATATATATATATATATATATATATATATATATATATATATATATATATATATATATATATATATATATATATATATATATATATATATATATATATATATATATATATATATATATATATATATATATATATATATATATATATATATATATATATATATATATATATATATATATATATATATATATATATATATATATATATATATATATATATATATATATATATATATATATATATATATATATATATATATATATATATATATATATATATATATATATATATATATATATATATATATATATATATATATATATATATATATATATATATATATATATATATATATATATATATATATATATATATATATATATATATATATATATATATATATATATATATATATATATATATATATATATATATATATATATATATATATATATATATATATATATATATATATATATATATATATATATATATATATATATATATATATATATATATATATATATATATATATATATATATATATATATATATATATATATATATATATATATATATATATATATATATATATATGGTATAAGTTGTTTTGATAAAGTTTTCCTAATCATTGTCACATAAGTTAAAGACATATAAGATGGAATAAATCCTTCTTCTTTAGATGATGTCAAACTTAACCTCCCTTTAACTACCCCAATTTGCGCCACATGATATAAGAGGATTCCATTTCCAAACTCCAAAGTCCAAATAAGTCATGGATTGCTTATACAAGAATCCCAACCAACCCATTGAAGCTCGTATCAAAGACCTTCTTTCTCGCATGACTCTCACTGAAAAGATTGCTCAGATGATCCAAATCGAGCGCACTGTTGCCACCTCTTCTGTCATCAGAGACCTCTCCATTGGTATCTATTCCAACAACCCATTTCACAGTTTCTCTTAAAGTTTCAAACTTTGATCATTTCCCTTTATAATCTCTGCTTGTTGCTTTGGAATTGGATTGGATTGGACCCTTTTGTTTGTAGTTTGATTATATGTGTATTTTATAGGGAGCATACTCAGTTCTGGGGGCAGTGCCCCTTTTGAGAATGCATTGTCATCAGATTGGGCTGATATGGTGGATGGATATCAGAAATCAGCTCTGGAATCTAGACTTGGGATACCTCTCATTTATGGGATTGATGCTGTTCATGGTAATAATAGTGTTTATGGTGCTACCATTTTTCCTCACAATGTAGGCCTTGGTGCTACTAGGTTAGTTCATTTTTTCCCTTGTGCTTAATTGGGCGCTTTTAAACTCAATTAGTAGATTTTGACATTATTAAGCTGGAAACTATGCGTGTGTGTTTGGTTCTGCGGTGAAGACAATTGATTTTGAGTGAATTATGTAAAATTGATTCGGGATAAAAGTGAGCTGAAGATAATGTTTGGATAGTTTCTTGTAAAAGTGAGATGACAAGTAAATTTCAGTGTAAATATCACGTTTAGACTAAAAAGCTACAAATCATAGCTTCAAGTAGAATCAATTCTAGAGAGCATAATCAATTCTACTCAAGAGCAACCAGACATGTCAAAATCAATTCTACAAATCCAAAATCAATTCTAGGTGCTCCAGACGTGAAACCAAACATACACATTTGAATGTGGTTATCTAATTTTGAAGAGAGAAAACAAAAGTAAACTAAAACACGAATATGTTAGTCTAATGAGAAGATAATGTTGCTATAATTTGAAACTAGTTCTTGACTTTCTTGAATGGCATGCTTATGTAGAGATGCTGATTTAGTTCGGAGAATTGGAGCTGCTACGGCGCTTGAAGTTAAAGCAAGTGGAATGCACTATAATTTTGCTCCTTGTGTAGCGGTAAGGCATTGCAATTTGCAATCAACTAGTCATTCTATGCGTGGATGAACTGCGGCAACAAGCTACGTATGCTATGATGCTTTTGCAAAATTGTATTGCTTGGATGCTCCATTTTTCGCAAGCATTTTATATACTGAAAATTTTGCGAGCAAATTAGTTCTCTTCCTGAATACACTTGTTACTTTTTTATGTTCATTGGTGAGCACCACATCATGTGTTTTTCCTTGAAAATGGAAACACTTCCCAATATTCCCGGAATTTTCATTTAATTCGCAGTGATTGGATCAATTTTAAAAGTTTAATATCTATCTATACAATAAAGAAATGTGATTTAGTCGGCTAAATATACAGGTCTGCAAAGATCCTCGATGGGGAAGATCCTATGAGTGTTATAGTGAAGACACTGCAATCGTCAGAAAGATGACGTCCATCGTTTCAGGTTTACAAGGCCAGCCGCCAGAAGGACATGAACACGGATACCCTTTTGTGGCTGGAAGGTAGGAAAAAGCACTCATCCATATACATATCAACAAAAATATTCTAGTTTAAAACCATTGAAAAATTAACTATTACAGTTCTGATAACAATTTATATATTTTTATCGATATTTATGCTTTATGCTTAAGTTTTACCCCAGGAACAATGTTGTTGCATGTGCCAAGCATTTTGTTGGTGATGGAGGTACTCATAAGGGTGTGAATGAGGGAAATACTATATTGTCCTATGAAGACTTAGAGAGAATACACATGGCACCTTATTTAGACTGCATTTCCCAGGGAATTTCGACCGTTATGGCATCCTATACTAGTTGGAATGGACGCAAACTCCATGCTGACCGTTTTCTTTTAACCGAAGTCTTGAAAGAAAAGCTAGGGTTTAAGGTAAAATTACTGATGATCTATCTTTGGCTAAATCGTCATAGTGTTTTTTGCATCAATATGCTTCAAAAATCCGAACAATGTAATCCAAGGTTTCACAATATTAGGAGCTATTTTTGTATGTTATGGACAAATGCTGAAATCTTTTATCTGTTTTCTGTTCTTTCTTTGGATCTTGTTGTCCCTTGACATGCTGTAAAAACTTCCTTGACTTAGGTTTTGTTTGGATAGATAACATAATTGAGCATTTATAGCATAACCGCTTATCATATAAGTGTTTATGTATAATTATTTCTATAACAAAAGATGAAATACAGTTAAATCGTTTTCTTATCATAAATTATCCTAGAGAGCTTATAGAAATAAGCAGAAAATAGCTTATAGACATGTCATAAGTTGTTTACATAAGCTCTTCTTAACGGTCTCAGAAATGTTTATTCTAATAAATAAGCTCAAATAAGCTCTTCTTAACATTGTTCCCTCCATTTTTATAACAAAAAAGTTTATTTTTTGCACAAAGTATATCAGGCCTGCGTATTGTCCTCGCTTCAAGTCTAAAAGGATCTTGGGTGAATTGTAATTCATTTCTTTTATTTCTTGATTTGATTTTAACTTTTTTGTAATATACAATATTATTGTTGTTATAGGGTTTTGTTATTTCCGACTGGGAAGGGCTTGACCGACTTTGTAAACCTCATGGATCAGATTATCGATATTGCATCTCCTCAGCCGTCAATGCTGGAATTGACATGGTACTACAGATCTTCAGTTCAAAGAATTTTCATCATAATATTTTTTAATCTGTTTTCACAAATTCAATTACATATGCAGGTGATGGTGGCTTTGAGGTACAAACTATTCATCGAAGAAATGACCTCTTTGGTTGAATCAGGGGAAGTACCGATGAGCAGAATCGACGATGCTGTTGAGCGAATATTGAGAGTGAAGTTCGTTGCTGGTGTTTTTGAATTTCCTTTAAGCGACCGATCTTTGCTAGATATAGTTGGTTGCAAAGTAAGTGTAAAAATAGCACATTTTAACATTTCTATTTTCCCTTATTAATTGTTTGTATGTATCATGACTTTGTTTTACCGTAATACTTCTTCTGCAGCCACATAGAGATCTAGCACGTGAAGCGGTTCGAAAGTCGTTGGTTCTGTTGAAAAATGGAAAAGATATAAGTGAACCTTTTCTTCCGTTGAACAAGAATGCGAAAAGAGTTCTTGTTGCCGGAACTCATGCTGATAATCTTGGATATCAATGCGGAGGTTGGACTAAGACTTGGTATGGCGGTAGCGGGAGGATTACTGTTGGTAAGCTATGACTATGATATTTATCGGGTTTTTCAAATGTGTGTCGAATCCTAAAGTTTGAGAACACTTGCTTCACAATTATATTAAGATATTTATTTGTTATACATGGTTGTCGCATAATCACATTAACTTATATCTTACCATGTTAGGAACAACAATCTTGGACGCAGTTAAGGAAGCCGTGGGAGCTGAAACAGAAGTAATTTACGAGAAGTATCCATCAAAAGATACCATAGAACATAACAAGTTCTCATTCGCAATTGTAGCCGTCGGTGAATCTCCATACGCGGAGTCACTGGGAGACAATTCAGAGCTCACAATCCCTTTCAATGGAACTGATATTATAAGCTCAGTTGCCGACAAAATCCCAACACTCGTTATTCTGATATCCGGAAGGCCTTTAGTCTTAGATCCACGACTTTTGGTAAAGATAGACGCTCTTGTTGCTGCTTGGTTGCCAGGTACTGAAGGAAACGGAATCACAGATGTTATCTTTGGTAGTCATGACTTCGAAGGTCAACTTCCGGTTACTTGGTTTAGAAGCGTTAAAGAGCTCGATCGACCAAGCAAAGGCGTTGCCTCATCTGAACCTTTGTTTCCTCTTGGTTTCGGGCTAAACTACTTGAATAAGTGAAATATGTGTGATTTATAGAATAATATTTTACCCTTAATTTACACGACATTGATACTGACACTTATATATTTGTAATAATTTGAAAAAACTAGAAGTCGATAAATGTAAACACATGTGTCGGTGTTGTACTCACATTGTAAGTATCGTAATAATTTGAGTTATGTGAATCAGATTTAGTCTACATATTCATATTCTCCCTAACCCGCGGAAAAAAAAAAACTATATTTTATATAGTGAAATACACATGGTTGATGTTCATCATTCAGAATATTGATAAAAAAAATTCTCTCAACACAAATGTTTTCTCTTTTTCCTGTTCTGTGTTGTGACATAGATATTATGCTTCAGATCTTATATTAAATTTCAACTATAAATGTTTCAAAGATTAGTCTTATGGATGGAAATACTATAAGGTATAACCTTTCTTGAAGAAGATTTCTATGCTAATATGTATAAACTATATGATTCTGATAGAACATTTATGTTTTCCTATTATGCCTTGCATTTATTGGATACCAAATGGTTAGCTTTACTGTGAGATATTCTGGTTTATTCTCAATCTCATGAAAAAGAAGATGAAATAATTCAGATACAGAACAAAACAACTGCATAATAATTACTTAATGATATTGAGATTTGATATACCAGCTTTTCTCTATTGGCCCACTAAACTACATTATTTTGATTCTATACCAATCAAAATGTATAGAGTGAATCCTACCCACTTTGCTCTAACAAATGCTATTATTGCAAATTAAGACTTTAACATTTAGTTTTGGACTTGGATAAGAATAAAGTGGTGAAGCTGCTTTTGAAAACCACTAGCAAAAAAAAGGAGGTTTTCCTTTTGTAAAGGGTGGTGGTTAGTCTTATCATAATTACTGTTAAAATGGCCAACTGAAGGACCATTTGGGTTTTACCGCCATGCATTTTGTGGTTATTTTCTTGGACTTATGCTCACATTTTAGACAAGTTGCAAAGGAAAAACAAACACAAGGGCCATTTTTGAATATGCCTCAATAATTATATCCACACAAAAAAAGTGCAAAAATGAGTCAACAGTGTGAACTAGTTAAGCATATACTTAATTGTTTCTGCGTTGAAAAATAATAAAAGCTCCAAAGTTCATTACACGCTTCTCACACATATATGAACCCAATTATTTGGGGACGTATATCCACATCCAAACACACTTTATACTTAATTTGATTCTTTAAGTTCATTACTTTTATTTTTTAATGGCAATAGCATAAATTCATTTTGTATTTTAAATTCTTATTTTTATTTTTTAATATCATAACTAGCAGGTAACCCGTGCATATATATATATATATATATATATATATATATATATATATATATATATATATATATATATATATATATATATATATATATATATATATATATATATATGTGTGTGTGTGTGAGCGATGTTGTCTCTCTCTTTTTTCTTATATAACTTTATATTAGTTTATTATAGAATTATTAATTTTTATTTAATTGATCAGTTAGAATTTTAAATTAATTTTTAAATAAATATTAAAGAGTTTAAAATAATTCAATTTATAAATTTAGTCTAAATAATTGTTGAAAAATTCAAATATATATGTCTTAAAATAAATTAAGATAAAATTATGAATTTAATTGAAATGTACTGTGCACCGTCCGTAAATCTTAACTGTTGTTAAGTGTTTGACTTTTTTTTTTAATCACATATCAAATATTATTTGTGAATGGTTTGATGCAATGACCCTGTAAAATATTTTATATTATCTAAGCATAACAATTATTCTCTAAAATTATCTTTAACAAAAGTAATATTTGTTAGTAAAAATACTTAAATAATGGTTAGTCAAACTACTTAAATATTGGTTATTGAAAGATGAAGATAAAATTTATTAATAGTTTATTTAGCTAAAAAAACGAAATGACAATTAAATAACATAAAGTAATGCCAATTAACATTTTTAACCAAAATATTTATGATGAATTTTTATATACATGACACTTGTTGTGTGTTAAGTTAACATCAACTTTAAACCAAATTTTTTCTCATGCTCTTAATAGATTTGATTTATAAAAGTCATTTCATTCGAATTCCAATTGTATTTTGTATGAACTTCATTGTTTAATAAAGTAACCAATTTTTTCTTGTTGTTATCACTATACAAAAGAAGATAGTGATATTTATAATCTCTTAATATTATTATAAAGTCTACATCTAATTTCTATATAAATAAACAAAAAAAAAAGGAAAAAAAATTAAAAAATACTTTATCAAACCAAAATTTATGGGAAAAAAATACAAGAAGTTAACTAATTCCAGTAAAGAAATATTAATAGGGATTAGTGGAATATCAAATAAACAAATATTTTAATGACAAAAGCATCAAAACAAAACTTATAGGATGAACGTGCCTCACTACTATCACCATCGGTGCTGAGATTGGTGAAAATTCCGATGAACGTGGCTTGATTAGTTGACAAAGATCTTGTGTTAAAAATGGAAAACTAAATCATAACAATCTGAATCTTCATAAAGGGTCTAGCTCCTCAGGCCATGTAATGCCGAGAGTTTGTGCATCACCATTGCTAAATGAGTTAGTGCATGAGATGCAATTAAACAAGAAAGGGAATGAAGGATCATACGTGAATGTGGTAAAAGAGGAAGATTCCATAAGCGTGCAAGAAGACGGTATGGAAAAAGATTAAGATCAAGAGGGAAACATAGAGTTTGAAACTGAGGGAATGAAAGTTGAAGAACGTACTATAGGGGGTATGAATGCCCTCAGTCTGTGTTATCCAATATTGAAGAAAAGAGAACCCACAAACCTTGGAGAAGAGGACTAATTTGTTAGAACAAGATTTGTTCATGACATATATCCTTTAGGTTTTGATGATAACAAAGTATTGAATGAACAATGGTGTTATCTAATGTGTGTTATAAATATGCATGTTCCAAAGCTTAAAGAGAATTTATTCAGAATCTGTTAAGAGAATACATTTGAGAGAGTGTGAGTTCTTGACTTATGATGATTCAGAACTGAAAGACGTTTTTAAGTAAAGTCTGATGATACATGATTGCATAGGCTCTGAAGCTAAATGTATCAACATAAGAAGAGCAATATGTTATCTCTGCAGTTATTGAATGTATCAGCTTATGATGATCATTCAGAATCATAGACAAAGCTTAGTGATTCGTACTGTATAAAGCAAACTACACTGTCAAATCAGTTTGTTAGTTAGAGTTTGTGTTCACATGGCTCAACGAGAGTTGACATGCTTTACAAATATCCACTCTCAACGAATTTATAATACAACTCACAAGAAAGACGCTACAGTTAAACGTGTTATACAATGGATAAAGAAATTTTTGTGTGTCTATCTTCAACGTCTCTTAGTACTATGGATTGACAAAGACACTTGTGCGAGTTATCTCTTCCGACGGCTACTCTTTTGTATTTGTTATTTAACTAGCTGAAGATTCAATCTGAAGAATCAACAAGGTATTAAGAAAAAGAAAAAAAGTGCCAAGCAGAAAAAGAAGCATTTCACACTTATATCAAAATGGAAGAATAACAAGATCAACAATAACAACAACATTGAGTATGCAGAGTTTCTGCCATCTGTTGTAAATTGCACAAAGCTTTAAAATTTCTTAAAAAATGTATATCTTAGAAATCTTAAGTGTTATGATCTTTGTTAAAGATATTTCTCTGTACCTCTGATTGTATATCAAGTACTCCTTATAATCTATTATGCTAAACATGTTGTTTAGTAGTTTAGAAGGAAAGTTTCTTGTTGTGTGCTTTAGAATTAAAGTCTCTTGCTTTGTGCTTGAGACAAGTAATTATCTTGTTGTGCGATTGAGCATTGAAGCCTTGATCAAATTGTTGATTAAGCAGGTGTAATACCCCAAATTTTACCTTTAGATTAGTCGATTCATGTCACATTACATCTCATTTTTTGCATTACATATTAACTAACCACTAATGGGTTGCATAGTCTGTTGTTTTTGCAGGAGAATCACATCTGGTGCACTTTAACTGTTGAGGGGCGAAATGGTTATTTATTCACCGTTTGCTGATAGTTCATGAAGCTGAATCATCGCCATGAATCCATTGAGTGATTAGAGCCTCCATTCCCGAGTTTCTTATTTTCTTTGAGGCTAAACAGAAATTCACGGTAATTTTGGCATCAGGATTTTTGAGATACGGTAATTAATTCAACGGGCCGAGACTCTGTTGTTAGTGGATTTCCGAGATATTTATTTTATCATATGGGTTTGATTATATTGAGATATCAATTTGGTTCGGCTCAAATCAGTGCAAGAATCCATTTTGCGGAGTTTTGTTTTAACAGGCGTTTATTTTCTGTTCTACTGCTATCTGCCAGTCAACTTTAAAGTCAAAGCAGTGGAATTTTCGATTCGCGCTCGGGTTTATTATATCGGTTTAATTGTGATTTTTGGTCGAGTTGGTTCAGGGCATTGGATTTATCCATCAGAGATGCAAGGTTGAATTTTTCAGTGAGGAGGTTGATTCTGTTTTGCTGTTAATGAGTTTTCCCGGTGTTACTCGTTCAAGGCCTTATTTACGATTTCTATCTTCAGGCATGAGTTGATGTGGAAAAGGTTTGTCTGGATTTAAAGTTACGTCAGGTTTTAATGACAAAGTGGATCCAGAGAGATTTTTGGATTTACGAATTTAATTGGTGAAGTTAATCCATTTGTTAAGTTTAATCGGTTGAATTTATTTGGAGGCACTTAATCAGTTAAATTTAATCGGATATTTTTGTGGTGGCGACAGATTTAAATTATGGAAAAGGGAATCAGAAAGTGATTTTGGATAGAAAATATATTGAATTTTTATTCATAATATTTTTTATTACAATTTACAAAAAGAAATTAAAAAAATACATTTTATTCCTAATTTCCTATTTTTCTGGTCTTCATGCTCGACTTCACGACTAATTCTTCGCCCGACTTTTTCTTTGTA